TGAGAGGAAACTGAGACCAAGCCAGATCACGGGCCTTGCCCCAAAGGCAAGCAATAGCGCTGAGGACTAGAGCATGGGCTCCCGAATTCACTCATGCGCCAGCAGACATGTATCTAGTACTGTCATGTCTCAGGTTCATTGCCTCCTCCCTGGCATACGAGGTCTGTACACAAACCCTCATGCAGGTGCCAGACCCTTTCCACTTCCCTCAGGCTCCCCAGCGGGCTGATATTATGCCTCACCAGCTGCAGCCTTGACATAGCTCCCCTGCAAGAGCCCCCGCTCTCCACCCCTGGCCTGGTAAATGAGAGCCCTCCATGCCAGACACCCTGAGCTCCCACGGTGTACAGAGGCGGTCACGTGCATGTGCTGAGGCTTCTGCATGCCACCGCTGTCACTGGGGACCTTGTCGTCTTGCGGCAGGCCTTGCCAGGCAGAGAGAAGCCAAGTGCTAAACTGTTCAAGCCCTGTAGCTATCCCTGTGGGAGTGGGAGAGGGCTTGTGCATCAGGGCATCTGGGCTCTCAGGGCCGAAACAGGCCTCTGCTCTCCTGCCCAGGCTGGGGGAACACATGGTGGGAAGAGACCACAGAGGGGCCGGTGCAGCAGGCTGCAGACGTCAGCTCCCCATCAGCCCCACCCAATGTGGCCAAGGCCAGGGGCAGGCCTAGGCTCACGGGGCCTGCAGTTGAGATTGGAGGGCAGCGGCCGAGCCATGGCCTTTTACTGGGCCCCTTCTGGGACCGTCCATGAGGGATGTGACCTCGCTGAAACCGGGTATCGTAAGGTCTGGAACTCTGTATTGTAAGGGCCAAAATAAGATTCAGCTGCACGTAACGGAAAAATTCCTGGGAACAAATCAATGAACTCGAGAACAAAAGAAAAATGTGAAAGAATAACAGAACCAAAAGTTGCTTCTAGGGCAAAATTAATATGAGGCAGACTCCTGATAAGAGTGATCAAGACCAAAAGATATGATGCAAATAAGTCAAATACATGCAGGGTAGAAAAGAGGAATAGTGACTTGGGGAGATTAAAAGTAATTTAAAAACCACTGTGAATAGTTACAGGCTTAAACAGCTGAAAGCTTCGAAAAAGCAGATACATTTCTAGAAAGATGCCAAAAGATTGGCCCAAGAAGAAATATGAGAATTTAGTGTGAGAATTTAAATAGGTCAACCAGTATTACAGAACATGAAATGGTGGTCAAAGCCCTTCCAACCCACCCAATCACCCAGACATCCTGCTGACCTGTAAAGAAACAGTTAAAGCCTCTTTTATACAAGCTGTTTGCACCCCCCAACCCCAAAGAAACCAACTGAGCTTATTTTACGAGGTAAGTGTCATCAAGATTGCAAAAGCCAGCTAAGAGAACATGACAAAAATTATAAGCCCTTTACATTTACGAACACAGAATAGAACAACACTAACTTAAATATTAGCAGGCTGACTCAGCAATGTGCTGAAATGATAATACCTCACCATCAGGAAGGGTTGACCCCAGCAACACATCAGCCTCAGAAAATCCACCAAGGTAATTCACTGCAGCATTAGATCAAAGGGGGAGATCCGATGGTTATGGCGACTGATGCAGAGAATGCTTTTGATAAGCTCTTTAGGTATTTAGGATTTTTTTTTTAAAGATTTTTATTTTATTTGTACATACAGAGCTGGGGTACAGGCCAGAGGCTCAGGGGTGGTTCACCAGAGACAGAGTGGGGAGCAGAACAGGCAGATGGACGAAGTACACTGCTGAGGGGAGCAGCGGGCGGGCCAGGAGAGGTCTGCCGCGCCATGTGGTCACCTCCGGGGCAGGCGGGGATTGAACTCATGTGGAAATGGCTTTAGCTTCTCAGTGCAGAGCTTTAACCCACTGCGCCACCAGGGAGGGCCGGTATTTAGGATTTTTAAAAATGCTTAGTAAACTAGGAACATAAGAGAAATTCCTTAATGTGTTCAAGATTTTAATATTAAAAAGCCACAGAGAATATCTCCAGTGGAGAAACTATGTCGGAGCCAGAGACAGAGACAAAGAGAATGTTCACCATCCTGCTGTGGCCTAACACCAGGGCCAGGAGCGGGCAGGTCAGTGGGGCGGCGGTCAGTGAGACGGGACTGTACGTGGCGTCATCACCTACCCTAACAAGTTAACCAGCTCTGCTACCCACGCTCTAGAACAAATAAGAGAGCTCTGTAAGGTTGGCAGCCCTGTGATTAACAGAAACTAATAACACTTTGCGAACAGCAATAATCAACCAGAAAAACTCAAAACAACGTGGCTTAAACGAGAGTCCACCATCACACACACATTTTTATATTGCGGAGAAGAAGATACTTATCATAGTCTTCTCTGTCTATAACATAGATACTGATTTTTTTTTTTAATCACACAAATGAAATCTATCGCAAAGTCCTGGGCGCCTTGGGGAGTCACACTCACCAGTTTATGCCACCAGAATCTGGGGACATCTATAAAGCTCCTAAAGACACGGGCTTTGGCGGTAGAATTTGACAAAGATAATAATGGAGGTGAGTCAAGCTGGGCACCAGAGAGGGGTGGCAGTCCAGGGACCCCGTGGGGCTTTTGGTTGCTGCTAAGCCTCCCAGCGCAGGCCCCCGAATGAGCACAGCTTACCCGTGCCAGGGCTCGTTAAATCAAACGGTCCTGGCCTCCAGTCCTGAGCCCCACGGCCCCCGGGACCTTGGGACCAGGGCCTAAGAAACCTGCCAGGTGATTTTGAACTGTATGCACGTTAATTTGTGAAGCACATGCTAGACCAGAGGCCTCCTCGGTCCCCATGGAGAAGAGAGTGGAGAAGACCCACGGCCCTGCTCTACCCAGGACCAGAAGGGAACCTCTCACTGCAGCTCCATTTTACTGACCACAACGAGTCATGTGGCCCCAACTTACCTGCAAGGGAACCTGGGACTACTCGTGAGGAGGAGCCAGAGAGAGGGCCGCGTGTCCCATTCTCTGTCACACGAATCTTGGGATCTGGGACACAGACTCGTTTCTCTGGCTCTCGGTTTCTCTGTGTTTCTAGGTTTGTTTCTGAGGCGGTTTCCATGTTCTTGCAGACGTAGACTGGGCCTGACATTTGAAGATATAAAGCAGAGCACAGCATACAGAGAAGTAATGCACACTAAATAGTAATACCTGCACTGGAAGTGTGTCGTCAGCCCCCGCACGCACTCAAGTTCAGAGCTGTCTGCGCCAGGCAAAGCCAGAGCACCAGGAGCGTGGTGGGGAAGAAGATGGACCTGGGAACACGTGAGTGCCACTTAGTCAGTGGGACAGAGACCCGGGCAGCCTCTGGCCCGGGTAGGGCTGGGCATGAGCGGGAGGGGGCTCCCGGGGCTCCCAATCTCCTGGCTTCTGTCTCCTCCTTTGGAAGTTGGGGTCTGCGACAGAGCCTGATGAACACACATGCCACGTCCTTTCTGTGACTGACCCCGGGCTGTGTGTGGGGTGGCCGTGAGCATGGCTTTGCAGCTAGGCACAGCCACGTGACTGGGTTGCAGCCACGAGATATAGCAGTGTGCAAGTTCGGGGGTGACCCTCCCCAACTTGCCCCAGCCTCTGGTCAGTAACGCAGATGTGATGGGGAAGTTCTGGCCGCCTGGGACCATGAAGGTCCCTCAAAGAGAGGCCTGGCGTCTGCAGGAGGGAAGTAAAGAGAGGAGCCTCCATCTCTGTCCTTCCCAGGGGCTGCCACAGGCACCCCGCCCCCTCAGGTCAGCCCCGACCACCCAGGTGGCTGCTGTAGGTAGCCTCCCACCTCGGGGCATCTGTATGGTTTGTATGTGTTATTCCCTGACTAGAACTTATGCTTTCTCCAAGCCCTGCTTCTTTTTTTAAAGATTTATTTATTTGTGCATACAGAACTGGGGTACAGACCAAAAGACCAGAGGCTCAGGGGTGGTGAGAGGCTTCACCATAGACAGAGAGGGGAGCAGAACAGGCAGATCGACGAAGTACACTGCTGAGGGGAGCAGCAAGCGGGTCAGGAGAGGTCTGCCACGCCATGTGGTCACCTCCTGGGCAGGCGGGAATCGAACTCATGCGGAAGTGGCTTTAGCTTCTCAGTGCTGTGCTTTAACCCGCTGCGCCACCAGGGAAGGCCAGCCCTGCTTCTTGACTCACTGAAAAGACACCTCCGTCAGCAAGCACCACCCCTGAACCAGGTGAACCAGGACCCCTCCTCAGCGTCTCCAAGAATCCACCTGTTCCTCTCCCCCTCCCCCCATGGCTTCTCTAACTTTGTCCCAAGGTCAGTGTAGGGTGCCCAGCCCCTGCCCTGGGGCCTCTGAGCCAGCTGGAGTAGGTGAACTGGATTCGGGGTGCCCCATCCCCACACAGTGCCCAGCGAGGGCAGGCTCGGGACGGCGGCTCCAGCTCCCACGGGCCACCTGCCAGTGCCTGGAAGCAGCTGAGGGGAGGCCCCTTGTTGCCAAAAGCAAACAGCCTCCCAGGGAAGTTTTGCTCTGGGTCACACCCAGCTCTGGGTGGCTGCCAACCTTCCTGCCAGAAACCACAGGCCCCGCCGAAGCTGCCCGGAGTCAGGCCACAGGGCTTAGGAGAACTCGGCTGGCTCTGCTAAGGGGGTGTCCGGAGACCACAGCCCCGGGGCCCAGAGGGGGTCGGGGGCCAGCTGCCGACTCCAGCAACAGCGGGGAAGGCCCTCTAGGCTGGGAGGCGCGCGAGAGCCCCCTGCCAGCCTGTCTCAGCTCTCCGGGCTGGCTGTGGGTCCGGCTCACTCACACTCTGCCCTGCAGGCACCCCTGGGGGCCACCATCATCTGACTTTCAGGTATGAGCGTGAGGATGGACGGAGAAGCAGGAACGCAAAGGTGTGTGTGCACACGTGCGCATGTATGTGTGCGTGTGTGTGTGTGTGTGTGTTTGGGTTGCCTGGGAGCGACCTCACAGCCGTGCTGGAATATGAAGACCTACAGGTCCCGCCTCCCAGACCCAAAGCTGGCTCCTGGCGGGCACGGTGACATGAGGGGGACACCACAGACCCACCTCCTGGCCTTCTCCTTCTTCTGCCTCCTCTCAAAGGTAAGGGGGCCCCGGGCCCCAAAAAGACGGCTGACTCCTCCGGTATGTGGGGGGAGGTGAAGTCACTGCCGAGGACCCCCGGGCGAATGCTTGCAGGCCCCACATCGGGCAGACGCGTCCCCTCCCTGAGGCCCCGCCAGCCTGGCCATCTCTGCGTGTGACCTCGGGCAAGTTTCCCTCCGCTGTGAGCCTGCCAGCTTCCTGGGCTCAGGGGCCCATGTGAAATGGTTTGCGATAATTGGCCGGCAGCGCTTACTTAGCACAGGACCTGAGCAGTCCAGAAGGACTGAAGGACGACTACCAACCCCACAGCCCCCGCCCCAGCAAAGCAGAAGTGGCTTCATGCTGGCCTCAGAGCCCCTGGGCCCTGCCCCCCACCCCCGCTGGGTGAGCAAGCGCAGGGCTGGGCTGCCCAGTCTCAGCTTTCGTACCAGGCTCCTCATTGTAACTGGGGAGACTCCAGGCCTGGCCCACTTTGCCTAACTATGAGCCAGTTCAGAGATTTCAACAGCACTAAGCCCGCTGGGCCCTCCGGGATGAGTGGACTGCCATGCTGGCCACAGGGACAGGGAGCACCCCGAGAGAGACTGAGCCCCCCGGTGCTGCATTTCCATAGGGCTTGTGGAACATTTGCCTGGCCTAATGTGTCCAATAACCCTAGGAGAAATCATCACCCCCTTTCAGTCAAGCAAGGCTCAGAGAGGGTACACAATTTGCCAAAGCCACACAGCAATGAAGCTTCAGCGCAATAGAGAGGTGGAGCCTAGCATAGACCTGCAGGGAGGGCAGGGAATTCCATCGGTGCCTCCGCCCTCCGCCGAGGCCAAGACCATGGGCGCTGGGCACTGCCATTGTCGGCGAATTGAGTTCTGGGCCGTGGGCTTGTCCCGCCACATCCGTGGCCTCCCTTTCACGCCCCCCCCCCCCCGCCACCAGGAGCTTCCCTCACCGGCGGGTCCGGGAGGGCTGAAGCCCAGCGGGCATGCCAGTCCTGCTGCTTGTTCTCCCAGCGGGGATGGTGGCCAGCACATGATGCCCAGGGGGCCATGAGCCCAGGATGAAACAAAAGACCGACATGCGGCTGCCCCAGACTCACTGCCCCCTGCGTTCTCCCCGGCCCCGGGAGCCAGGCAGCATCCTGCACGGGCCCAGGCTTAGTCATCAGAACAGCAAAGCCACAGCCTCCTGGGCACCGGACTACGGACAGGACAGGCAGAAACAAGCAGTCACGTCCAGCGTCTGGGACCTCATTTAGTCACTGTCACGGTTCCAAGGTAGGTTGGTCCCCCCCCCCCCACTTTATCGAGGAGCCAGCCGCTTCCTCCCTGTGGGGCAGTTAAGTGACACGTGAGAGTCACACAGCGAACCAGCGGCAGGGCTGCAGCTTCAGCCGAGGCCCAGGCCCTTGCCCCTGGTGACCAAGGATCTGGGGCTGCCCCGTGTGTGATGAGGGAGACAGAGGGAGACTCGAGAGGGCCCATTTTTCTTAGCTCTCCTGAAACACCCTCCCCAACTTGTCCTTATCCCTCTTGAGCAAATGGGTAAGTTGAGGCAGAGGCTAAGCTGGCATCAGAGCTTGTAGAGGACAGGCCTGGCCGTGAGTTCGGTGACGCTGGTTCTGATCCTGGCTCTAAGCCTCCCACTGCCCCCGATGCCAGCCTGTCTTCTCACTGGCCACGTCCTGACTCTGCTTTGAGCTTCGGTTTCCTCAGCTTTAAAATGAGCACAGGCTGGCCCTCACACAGGTGTTAAACCAGACACGCTAGGCACACATGTGTCCGTGGGACATGCCAGTCGGTATCTGCCAGGGTGGCTCCCGGCATAGAACTGCAGGTCAGTTCTCCCAGCTTGCCTGGGGCAGAGAAGCCTCAGAGGGTGCCCAGGTGTGAAGCACCCACCGCACACCGGACCACCTGCCAGGGGCTTAGCGCAGCCTTCTTCAGGGACTCCCCAGGAGGGTCCCAAAGTTAGACACTGCTATTGCTCCCCTTTTACACAGGAGGAAACCGGGTCGAGAGAGCCCGAGAGCTGAGGTTCGGCTAATTAGAGGCAGAGTTAAGCCTGGAACTCAAGACGGAGTCCTGCTCGTGCCCAGCGTGTGCTATGGCCCAGCCGGGGTCAGGGCCAGTGTGTGTGACTCTGGTGCCACACAGCCCAGCCTAGCAGAAGGGGCCAGAGTGAGACCCCTGGGGCCTACCTCAAAGCCCACGGCTGACCGAGGTCTCCCCCCTGCAGGTGTGTGCCCAGCTGTGCCCGGTGCCATGTACCTGCCCCTGGCCGCCCCCCCGATGCCCACCGGGGGTGCCCCTGGTGCTGGACGGCTGCAGCTGCTGCCAGGTGTGTGCGCGGAGGCTGGGGGAGCCCTGCGACCATCTCCACGTCTGCGACCGCAGTCAGGGCCTGGTCTGCCAGCCCGGGGCAGGCCCTGGTGGCCGGGGCGCCGTGTGTCTCTGTAAGCAGGTTTGCGGGCTGATGGAGGGTGTGCTGGGGAGGTCCAAGCCAGGGGGTCTGAGTCAAAGCGAAGTCTCCTCGTGCCACCTGCTTCACACTCCCCCCTGGGACACCTCCGCTTCCAGGCAAATCTGGGTTCCAGGGTTCCCCAGGCCCACGCCCGGCTCCCTGCTGGGCCCTTCTCCCACCACGCCCACTACCTGGGCAGCCACGCCCACTACCTGGGCAGCCGCCTACTCCTGCTGCCCAAGTCATAGCCCAGTGGCAAAGTCAAGTTCGCATACGCCCCTTGGGGAGCCCCCCTAGATTCTTCAAACCAAAAGTCAGCACCTCCTTCCAGGACCCTCACAGCACTCCTGGGAAATAAAAGTTGTAAGTTCCCATTTAGGGCATAATGTGTCGTACGTAGCAACAGGCTACATACGTCACGTCCTGAAATGACTCAAGGTGGGAATCCTTCCAGCCCGCTGAGTAGATGAGCAGCTGAGGTCTGGTGATGTTAACTGCCATGCAGAATGGCACTCGGCTTGGGGCCGGGCAAGCAGGCCCCGTCTTGCTCCCCCCGGGAGTCCTCAGCTTCTCGGCCGCCTCCGGGACGCCTGTGTGCTCACACCCTCGAGGGTGTCACTGCCTTCTCCACCCTCCCAGGAGGTGGCTTTAGGACAGGGTTTCCAACCTTGGTCCAGGGAGCGATGGGCCCACCTGTGTCTGGAGCACGGGGTTTGGGGGGGCAAGGGCTGCCCCAGCTGAGTATCCCACCTTCACTGCACCCCTGGCTTCTGCCGACCCCTGAGGTTGCCGACAGTTGTGACCGTCTGTCTGTGCACGTTGCCAAATGTCCCTTGGGGAGCAAAATCACCCCTACTGAGGACCACAGCTCTAGCTAGAGAAAAAGAAAAAGGTGAGGGACTTTAACAAAAGCCAGAGCAGCCTTGTAAAGCAATTTCTGCCTTTGTGTAAGCGCATGTCACACTTCTAAAATTAAAAAGTGGGGGACCTGGGTCACTGACAGCGAGTGAAAAAGAAAGCAAAACCGACAGGCAAAAAGTTCGCAACATTGTTCACTGCTTCATTTGATCAGGCCAGTCCCATCAGGAAAAAGGGCGATTGGTTATAAAAACTATAGAGGGCAGCTAATTAAAATCGATGAAGCAAAGCAGCGGATAAGTGGCATTCAGCTTCCAAGGCTGTCACCGCGTCAGCCTGTCCCATGAAGCCCAAGGCAAACGTGGACATTTGCACTGCCAAGTGCCAGCCTCACCGCTAGTGCAGGTGCCCAGGACAGTGCCTGGCACAGAGCAGTTCCCAGTACCTGCTTGTTGAATGAATGAAAGAACGATCATCCCGGGAGCCTTGGCAGGAGCCGTGTGTGGACAAGCCCTTCTCAGGCTTATTCCGCTTCTCCCTTAGTCACCAGGAGGGCCCATATGACCCATCTTGCTGGGGAGAAACCGGGGCTCAGAGACATTAAATCGCCTGCCCACGGTCACAGTTTGCAAGTGGCTAAAGACAAAGAGTATTTTTTAAATAACCCTATTCTTCTCAGAGGGGATTCTCCAAGGGAGACTTAGAGTTACCAGATGACAAGATAGTGCTCTGAAGTTATTGGGAGAATTTGCTGGAAAGGGCACCCTGGAGAGGCCCCGAAGGAGTAGGGGTTAGGCACCTCTGTGTGTCCACGAGGCACAGAGGAACTCCCAGGGCGAGTGAGCCTCGAGGTGCCTTTGATGTTTGAGACCGTGCACTGGTGGGTACGCGGATTCCGGGGTGGGAAGCACCTGTCCAGGCCTCTTGACCCGCTCCCACCCCACCCCCACCAGCCATGAGCTGAAGCGCCCCAGAGGCACCAGAAGACCCAACCAAAATGCTCACCCTCGGGCTGACGTTCCTCAAGGTGCCCGCTGCTTTCCAGGTCATCCCTGTGACCAGGAGGCCAGGATGGCAGGAGTCAGGCTGGGAGACAGGGCTTGGCCAGGTTGGGTGGGGACCAGGAAGCAGCTGCCCTGTGGTTTCTAAGAAACCACAGCCACAGGGCCCAAAGGGCGGGGATTTGGAGCCTAAGGACTGGCCTGGGAGAACAAGAGAGAGAACTGACTCGGTCCTGTCCTCGAGCCCACGCCACTGGCTGAGAATCTCTGCGTGCCAGGCTTGGGGCAAAACCCTTCCGTTTCAGCAGCTCATGGACTCCTCCGGCCACCCTCAGGCAGGGGGCTGAGGCTCAGAGGCTGCCGGAGGTGGCCCAGGGCCCCACAACTAGCAGCAGGCCCTGGGGAGATTTCAAAGTCCCAGCGCCTGACTTCTGCGGGGCCTCGTGAGGTTTTCCCTGGAAGACCTGGGCAAACCTGCTTGCTGATGAGCCCGGGCCCAGGCTGGTTGAACTGCCTGGGCTGGTGTGTGCCTGTCCAGCATCTGAGCTGGCCCGGCAGCTGCCAGGGAGAGAGCCTGTATCCCGGGGGCTTCACTAGGGGTGTTTCCTGAGCACGTGCTCATGTCACGTGCCTGTCACCTCATGTCCCTGCAGGCACAGATGACTTGTCATCACTGCTATTGGTAGTGCAGCTCAGAGACGTTAAGTAACTTGCCCGAGGTCCCACAGCTGGCAAGCAGGCCCCGACCTGACAGTGAGGCCCACAGTACAGCAGATGGACAGTGAAATCTCCGTGTGTGTACACGAGTATCTATTATTGATCTCTAAGAACTACCTGAGGACGATGGCACAGCTAGCGTCTACTGAAGGGCTCCTTCAAGTCGGCCCGTGGCATATAATGCTCCATATACCCCAGTGAAATAAAGACCATCATAACCTGTGCTGCAGGAGGGAAACTGAGGCAAGAAGCGGAATCACTTGGCCAAGGTCCATAGTTGGCAAAGGGGCTCAAGCCAGGCAGTGTTCTGCACGCCCCGAGCCAGGAGGCTGAGGTCTGCCTCCCTGGAGGCGCCAGGCGGCTGGCAGTGGGGAGGCTTCATGTGGGGAGCTGGGGTTCTCTGGGGCGCCAGCTCCCTGCGGGACCTGCGCCAGCCTTGCAGAGAGGGCCCCTGAAGGATGTGGCCAAGGGGGAAAGCCCAGGGTCACCGATGGGGGTCTGGTTCCCCTCCGCAGGGGGAGAGGATGATGGGAGCTGTGAGCTGAATGGCCGTGTGTACCGGGACGGGGAGACCTTCCAGCCCCACTGCAGGATTTGCTGCCGCTGTGAGGACGGTGGGCTCACGTGCGTGCCCCTGTGCAGCGAGGACGTCCGGCTGCCCAGCTGGGACTGCCCGTACCCCAGGAGGGTTGAGGTCCCTGGCAAGTGCTGCCTTGAGTGGGTGTGTGACCAGGGGCAGGGCCTGGGGGCCCAGCCCCTCCCGGCCCAAGGTGAGTGTGGGGGCTGGCCCAGGCTGGGAGGGCCAGGGAGGCCCGGGGAGGGGGCCGGCAAGGCTCCCTGGACACATCAAAGCCAGGGTTTCTTCTGGCGCAAGCTGGCAGAAGAGACAGGCAGGGGAGGGGAGGGGAGAGCGCCACCCTCTGCAGAAGTGGCCAAGCAGGAAACAGTGGTGCAAGGATGACAGGGATTTAGTAGCACGTTAGAACCAAAATCCCACACTTCACAGCAAAGGTATGAGACAGAGGCACACTGGTGTGGTGCGCACTAACATAATCTGTTGATACATATTCACAATATACTTATATAATCTAAGTATCACACAGTAGTATTGAGGTGATCAAAAAAAGGGAGTCAAAACTGTACTGGGCAAGGGGGTGGTCTCTGAGCTGTGGGCTTGGGGAGGGGCCGAGAGGAAGGAAAAACAGTTCTCCATAAACATTTCGGTTTTAGCGGTTTTTGTATTGTCATGCCACTGGGGATTACTGTTATCATCATCATCGTCATCATTCCATGACTTTGACACCATAAAGCGTGCAAACAGGCTGCACATGGGCCTCACTGGAGTGGCCATACTAGGCCCCAGGGCTCATCTGCTTAAAGACAGAGCGGCCGGCAGCTCCCAGCGGCCAGGACCCCATTTATGCAATTTGATTTCAGGCTGCCATGTGCCCATCCGTGCCTGCCACGAGCTTGACACACGGGGTTTCCCACCCGCGGCCCCTGCCAGGGTGGGGTGTCCCCCCGACAGTTGGGTGCTGCTAGATTCAAGCAGCCCCACCTCTGGCTGTGATCACCAAAAATGTCCCAGACACGGCCCTAAATGTCCCCCGGGGGCAGCACTGTCCCCTGGAGACGCTGTTATAAAAGACCAGAAGCCAGAGCGCCAGGATCTGAGAAGACAAGAACCAGGCTTGCCCAAGCGAGGAGGCCAGATGGGGCCCCGAGGCTTGGCCCAGGCGTGGCCCCGGAATCAGCCCCCGCACGCTGGCTCCTTCCTGCAAGGTGCGCTGTCACCGCGAACCAGGAGCTCGCTGTGGACCGGGACCGGCACGTCAACACCATCACAGTGGCCCGAGAGCCGGCGTCTGTGGGGAGCTTACAAGCTCTAGGCAGCTCCGTTATTTCATTCAGTCCTTTAGCTACAGGAAATTCACCCAGGAAGAAATGGAGGCCCGGAAGGTTAAGCCACAGACGAGGATCACACAGCTGGCGGGTGGGGTGAGTGGGCTGCCCAGTTCTGACCTCGTAGCGCTCATCCCTTTGTCTCCCTCCCCTCCTGCAGGACCCCAGTTTTCTGGCGTCATGGCGCCCCCAGCCCCTGGCATCCCCTGTCCCGAGTGGAGCACGGCCTGGGGCCCCTGCTCCACCTCCTGCGGGCTGGGTGTGGCTACCCGGGTGTCCAACCAGAACCGCTTCTGCCGCCTAGAGAGGCAGCACCGTCTGTGCCTGGGGGGGCCCTGTCCCCCCACCAGGGGCCATGGCCCCCCGAACAGCGCCTTTTAGAGCCAGGGTGCCCACCGTCTCCAGCAGGCAACCGTGTCTGCAGCCACGATCCAGCAGGACCCACCAGCAGCTCTCGGAGTTCTAGAATGTTCACCGGCCCGGGGTGACACAGCGGAGGTGCAGGTGAACCAGCTCAACCTGGGGCTGGCCCTGTTTCCAGGGTCTTCTGCTCTGTTCCCGGCCTACACACGCACTTCTCATCACGCAGGCAAGCTGTCTAGAAAGTGGGGCAACCATCTCCCCCTTAATCATTAGGCTGAGGCAGGTGCTGGCTGCCGTGGCTATTTTGCTGGGGTGTGGTGAAGAGGGGTACACAGATATTTGGAATTTCCTGCTTCTTTTCCTGCTGAGACGTAATGTACCTGGACACTCGTCTCCGCGCGGGTCCGGTGCTCGCCGCGGCCGAGAGCGCCCTCCGCACCCAGGTCAGGCCGCAGGGGCTGAGTGCGTAAGGATGGCCCTCTGGACACACCTGCAGCCCCGCCGGCCACTGAGTCCGCACCCAGTGGGCTCAGGCCCCACAGCGTTGTTGGCCAGAGAAAAGAGAGAGCAAGAAGGATGCCGTCTCTGAGGAAAACAGGTCCCACCTGGAACTCTGTTTGATGTCTCCTGATTTATTGTAAACACACACACACACACACAAAGCCCCGCTCTATAAATTTTATATCCTCCTCTGAGTTCTGCCTGTATTTTTTCTTTGAACTAAAGTTGTTTTCATCAGGATCCAAGCAGGAAACGAGTCAACACCTTTGTACGTACACAAGGATTTCTATTCAACCAACTCAGGTCTAAGGAGCCCTGATAGGTGTGCAAGCCAGTAAGCATCTCTGCCAAGGTAAACCCCTCCCCCCCCCAGAGAGGTCTCCTCCGCCCCCTGAGGCCACCGGCCTCCTAGTCCAGCACTGCAGCTGGGGTCAAGGCTCATGCCTTGAACTTGGTGTGAGCAGAAGCACCCAGCGGATTCTCTCCATGGACGCCTCTTGCTCGGCACCAGCCATCAGGTGTGGCTGGGCGAGGCGGAAGCCACAACACCAGGAGGCTGGGAACAGGTGGCAGAAGGTGGGATCACACGACACTGGGGGGGGCCCGCTGGGGCCAGCAGGGAGGCTGCCTGGCTGGTGGAGAGGGTGGAGAAGGGACAGCACCCCACCTGCACCCCCCCAACCTGCGCCACTCCCATTTGTTCAAACCTGGAGGGCAAGGGAGCCGGGGTGCACACTCCTGGGACACGAAGCAGAGCAAAGGCAGGGAGGACCTGGAGCAGGGACCCCGGGCCGCCCCTCCGAATGGCGGAATGGCGTCCCAATGGGTCCCCAACACTGGGCGCAGCACCATGCCCCCCGGGAGCCCCAGTTTGAGGCTCACAGGCAGCACTGGCCACTTAACTCCCAGGAGGTTTCACCGACTGGTCCACAGAGGAGGCCCCAGCTTGGCAATGGCGCCGGGCTGGGGTCCCGGCAGGCTGAGCGGAGCTGGCCCTCCAGGCTGGCTGTGCCCCCGCTCTCACGGGCTGAGGGCTCGTGTGCCGGTTGTGCCAGTAAACTCTGAACACAGGGCCGCAGAGAGTGTGAAGTCACCCGCAAAGCGGTGAGCGCAGGTTCGAGGACCAAGAATTGGCAGGACACTCCCCACGTGTGTTTGCTCTGCCAAGGGATTTCTGTCACCCTCAAGGCCACCCTCTGCATAAAAGCCCCCGGGGGCATGAGCAGCAGAGGGTTCTGGGTCCCCCTGGGAGCAGCAGAGGGCTGGGGTGCACCCCCACCCCCGGGGGAGCATGAGAACAGCAAGGGGCCTGGGCCGGGCTGGCTGCGGAGCTGCTATGGGCAGGCCAGGAAGCCTGGGCCCCGCTGACCGCCCCCTCCTGACCTCAGGTGCGTTCAACTCTTTGTGCCTCAGTCTCCTTTTCCTTAAAATGCCCGTCATGACAGCACGAGAGCTGCTGAGACTATCATGTCACTTAAATAAAAATTTTGGTTCCTGGCCCTCCCTGGAGGCCGGCGGGTTAAAGTACAGCTCTGCAAGCTGGCTGCAGCCGCTTCAGTGCGAGTTCGATCCCTGCCCCGGAGGTGACCCACATGGCCTGGCAGACCTCTCCTGACCCGCCCGCTGCTCCCCTCAGCAGTGGACTTCGCCGGTCCGCCTGTTCTGCTCCCCACTCTGTCTCTGGGGAATCCTCTCACTGCCCCTGCACCTCTGGCCTGTACCCCAGTTCTGTATGCACAAATAAATCCTTTTTAAAAGTTGGCCCCCATTATCTTGATCAGCCTTCTTAAGTAGACAGAGCAGGCCCAGCCCATAGGCTCAGTCATGGCTGCCACTCGGGCAGGCTGGGGTGAGGGATGTAAGCTCCCCTCCGGCCCGCTCAGATATACACTGTTATTCTCATCTCATCTGAAGGCAAGGTCTGGCTTCCCTGTCTTTACGAAGATAGGGAGGTGCTGTTGGGGAGCAAAGATCTCTGGATGAAAGTCAGGTTCCCCCCAACTTTGCTCATAGCTTGGGGTACCTAGCCTGGCTGTTTCCCACCGTGCTTGTAACTTGGCATCACGTGGCTGCAGGTAACAACAGCACACTCTTTCCTGTTGCTGCGTAGTATTCCAGGGAGGGACTGGCCCACTGTGGGGATGCACCCCGTTCTTGCCAGGCCTGTCGGTAGCTCTCGGTTTGGGGCTACTCTGGACAATGCGGTGCGTGGCCCCTGGACTTGGGTAAGCATTGCTGTCGGCCACCTCCCCGGGAGTGGAATCCCTGGGTCATGGCCTGTGCTTCCTCCTGGGTGGGACCATCTCCCAGGAGAGCAGAGATCTTTGTGCACAACAGGTGGGCAGGACAGGCTGACTGCATAAATAGCAGAACACAAGCACTGGCATTTATTGTTCAAACCACAGACCAGAACCTATTCCAAGCATCTTCCCTGTGATTATGCACGTTGCTCTAGCAAATACCTTGGAAGTATAATTATGTCCATTTTGCAGGTGAAGAAACAGAGGGGCAGAGACATTAAAGAAACTGCCCATGTTCACGCAGTTCAAAGTCAGCAGAGCCCAGATTCACATCAGAGTCCTGTGCCCAAGTCCACACGCTTGGCCATGGGCTGCAGGGACTGAGATCCTTGCAGGCGTGTTGTGGGTTGGGCAAGAGGAACACAGCAGAGAATACCGCTTGTGAGGTCTGGCCGGAAGGGTGCACGTGAATAGCAGAATTAGGACCCCAAGCACAGCCCTGGGCTTTCTGATGGAGAAGGGGAGAAAGGTGGGGTCTTTGACAGAAACAGAGAGCAGGGGAGCCCCTAGAAGTGGCAGAGAGGATGCTTTGAGTTCCAGGAGTCAGTGGTCACCCGGGGGTGGTGTGGCTGGACTCAGGGGTCCAGGTCTGAGCAGAGAAGAGTTCAGTTCTAGGCAGAAGAGAGTGTTGGTGCGTAGGACCTCTTAGAAGGGCCCTGTGTCTCTACCGGCCCTCTATGGCCAGGGCCACCACCAGCTCTGTCCAGGTGACGTCACAACTTTCTCCTGCTCTTGTGGCTTCACGCTCACTCTTTACAGGGTGGACGAGAGGAGTCCTATAAAACTGAGCAGGTCAATAGTTCTCAAAGTGGGGTCATAGAAGGATCAGTATCGCCTGGCAACAAGTTCAAAATACAACTGTCTTGTTCCCAGGCCCAGATTCACCAAAGCTGAGGAGCTGCCCAGAAAAGCCTCCATCTCATTAAAATTTGTGGGGGATTAAGATGCCGTTCAGGAGAAAACCATAGTGTGCTGCTGCCCTCTTGCGGCTACTCAGTGCATGACCCCATGTGGCCCACAGGTGTTTCAAGTTGTCTTGGGAAGATGGATTTCTCCTGTGCAGCCAGTGTCCAAAGACCAGCATTCCGGGCCACACGAGTGGATAATTCAGGGGCCCCACAGTGGTCTCCTTGACCTATCATAGACTGTCATCAGTAGTGTACTTCACAGTCTTGCGGCCACAGTCCTGTCTCCAGCAAAGCAAAAAGTTCACCCCCGTTGGGTGGGGTACTGGCCAGACGGCTCATGGGAAGCTCGCGCATCTTTGCAAACCAGGTGGTGTGTGATCTCCCTAATCACTGTCTCCCTGCTCAAACAGGTGGGTCTGCCGGCTGACTTGATGAAAAAGAAATAGCATGTACCCCTTGTAGCACAAACCCCAGCTCCCTACCAGTGGGACCTGTCAGGACAGGGGGGTACACCTTTCTTGTTGCCTCCAAGACAGCACAGAAGAAAAGGTGTGTCAGTCTCCCTGTTTCAGAAATTCATTTTCAAATTCTAGTCTTCTGCTTATATAAGCTGGGGGGTGGGGGTGTCAAAGAAAGACAGTTTGAAATGACGTTTTTGTGACATTTCTAAGAATGTCTTGTGGCTTTCTGGAAAGGTGGGGGTAATGTTAGCACCTGTGTCCTCATTTGGGGGCTTTCCCTGAAAGTCTGAGACAACAGGCAAAGTCCAGTTTAGGAATCTAATACACACGTTATCTACTTTAATCTCACAACAGCCCTAGAAAGTAAGTTTATCAATTATGGCAATGGTAGCTACTATAATGAGCACTCCCCAAATTTCCATGGCTCAACAAAATAGAAACTTATTTTTTACTCACATGGTATTCCAAGGCAGGTGCTGCTGGCTGGAGGACAGCTTTTGGACTTGGGTCTTTCTGCATCCAGGTGGTAGCAGGGCTGGAGAAACTTGCCTGCTTCTTAGAAGCCTCCTGGCCCGCCTGCTGCTGTGTATCTCAACACATCTGCCTGTTCTGCTCCCCACTCTGTCTCTGGTGAATCCTCTCACCCCTTGCATCTCTGGCCTGTACCCCAGCTCTGTATGCACAAATAAAT